GTAGGAGTGGCAAACTTTTTTGCATCTTTTTTGGGGTCCCAAAATTGACATTCGCAGCAAAATTCAGCTTGTTCGTATGATTTTTAAAGGTTGAGTGGCATTTTCGTCTTTGACGACTGGACTAATAACGTAACCGTAATGGTACGTTTCCACTGAGCGCGTCACGCGTTGCATTGTCCATCGCGTACGATGCGACGCGAAAGGGAGAAAGAGAGAGGTTGTGTACATATATAAACTTCACTCTTTCTCTCTTTCGCGTCGCGTCGTGACGCGATAGACGACGCGAAGGGTGACGCGCTCAGTGGAAACGTACCATTAACGTACCATTACGGTTACGTTACGGTTACGGATCCCTATTGTAGATGATCCTTTAAGGGTGCTTACCCATGCAACGGAATAGCGTAACGCGGAACGAGAGCAGAACCAATCACAAGCGTTCCGCGCCAACTGCAATTGGTGCGGAACGCTTGTGATTGGTTCTGCTCTTATTCCGCGTTACGCTATTTCGCTGCATAGGTAAGCACCCTAAGGGTGCCGTCACATGCGGCGTAACCTGCGTATTCTAGTAATTTACTAGAATACGTTATTTTTATTTACTAGAATACGCCATTCTGAAAGCCCGCATTCACATTGAGCGTATTTCACGGAAGATTAGAGAAATGCGGAACTAATGCAACCAATTGCTGATTAGAATTTCTGTTGTACACTCTAACAAAACTGCTAAATGAATTTACGATTGGTTTTCGTAATCTACGCATCTCAAAAAGTACGCCTCATGGGGAACCTTTCCGTCGCGTATATATGAGCGGATGATCGAATAAATGATTAAAATCGGAAAATTTTGTGAGACCATTCTTAGGCTTATTCGACGCGTTTTTGCATGAAATAAATGAATCAGACAAAAAAAACGTCGTTCTGTCTTGTGATCTTAGATATTAAGCGTTAAAGTTGATGACTATTGAGGTTAGGAAATCCATCACAGAGGCAAAATGAGGTACTGTTCCACATGGGTTTCGACTTTTCACGCGATGCAAAGGGGCGCACGACTTTTATAATTGTACTGTTGCAAAATCGAAACCCTTGTGCATTTTTTCAGGCAGAATAAGCTAAAATGAGCCAGAAATTAGATTCGACGCATAGTGGTTCTATCATGTTTCGGCACCCTAAGGGTGCCCTCACATGCGGCGTAACTTGTGTAAGCGTAACTTGCGTCGACCAATTATATCATTTCACTTGAACATCAGTTCTGTCTAGTCACTTTATGCTTTTTACGCTATTTTGTTGTTAGGGCCATTGCACACAAACTTGCAGAGCCACATAACCATATGCATAAAGAAAATTATCTAATCACATTTCTGTCATAAAGCCAAGCGTAAACTACGATTGGATGATTTTCTTTATGCATATGTCATGCGGCTACGTAAATTTGTGTGGAATGGCCCTTACGACGAACCACCATGTGTCAAATCTAACTTCTGGCTCATTTTAGCTTATTCTGTCTGAAAAAATGCACAAGGGTTTCGATTTTGCAACAGTATAATTATAGAAGTCGTGCGCCCCTTTGCAT